ATTTACCTCCACTGAGTTCTCCCTTGTGGCTGGATTCCAGCAACGTGAAGCCGGCTTCTGGCTCTGGGTCTGCTAGGAGATAGCTGGAGCCCCAGACCCTGCTCTCTGGCTCCCTGCAGGCTGCACGCAGAGGTTTTGGCTCTGGGGCTCCAGAACACGTTGCCTCCTCCGCGTTTGCTTTGGCCACTCTCAGCCCGCTGGCCTGAATCTTCCCTTGTCACTGTTGCAATAATGGTTTGAGGAGCGTGGGGTCAAGGCAGGCCAGGAGACCTGGAGGGCTCTGGCTGGAATAATAAGGGATTTGTTCGACCAACAACAGGCAGCCCATTTGACTCTTTTCCAGGACCAGGGCAATGCTCGAAAAGGTCTGAGGTTTTGACTCCAGGGCTACAGCTGGCAGTTCAAAACCACCTCGTGTAGATGCACTTTTTATGGGCCAAAACAAGGCCATATAAAAGAAGTTTCTGCCAGGAGAGTTTCTGCCAGGTCCCCAAGCAGAATAAACAGAGCACTTCTGTGAGGGGACAAGGGCATGCTCACAACAGCTTGGGTCAGTCTCGAAGCATTGCCTAAGATCCCAGAGCCCTGCCTCGTGTTTGGTACACCAACAAAGTTCCTCGAGTGGACCTGGCCTCCGGCTAACCCGAAAGGAATGGGGCAGGGGCTGTGCAGCGGTGGGTTCAGTGTCGCAGCACATAACCAGGGGAGCCCCGGCCCCCTTCGTTGCACCCTGATATAAGTCCAGCCCCTTCAATCAATGCAATTGTCCCTTTGGAGACCAATGAGCAAGGATGACTGACACACCTGTGGGGGGTTAAACCCCTGTAAGCATGACTACTAACTCCCAGAGTTGGAGAAACTCTCTCCTCTCCCTCCCGGACGGTCCCCCTCTCATCCCAGCTGTCCCCCCCTCCTACCAGTTTAGGAGCTCCTTAGACCAATCCAGAGGTCAAACTACCCATCACTTTTTGCTGGGCAGCTCAGGACAGAGAGTTAAATCGGCTCTCAGAGGAACCTGCCTCCTAGAAATTCATGAAGGGTTCCAGTAGCTGGAGTAGAAATGTGATAAACTTGACTTTGAAACAAGATGTAGTTTCCTGGGGGTAAGGATGATTAAACACTGGAACAGTTTGCCAAGTGAGAGGAGGATTCACTTTGCTTAGATCCTTTACAAGAAGATTAGATTTCTTTATCAAACCTATGATTTAATCCCATTTCTGGGGAGAAGTTCTACAGTCTAAGTAAACCAGAGGGGAGAGGGGGGTGAAATTTGCTGATCACTGCCTCCTTCTTGACCTGGAGTCCATCTGCCTCTGAACATACCATAACTAATGACAGTTGTGGTGCAACGAGATCAGAAATATTTACTCCTTCCTCCGGCACACCCTGCTTCAAAAAAAATGAGGTGAGGAGAGTGCTAGAGGACCTATGGATTTCTGTTTTTTCTAACCCTACATGTGAGATTTCACAAGTCAGTTGGACAAGCAGCATTGGAAGAGTGTCTCTTCCACCAAGCCTCCTACGGACGTGAGATCACGCTCCAGTGCATGTACTCTCTGCTTTCCAAGCACTGCATCTCCCAATCCTGATACGAGTGGTTGCTTTCCCCAGTAAGCTACACTGGCCCCCAAGGTCCCACAGCAAGAATGAGGTAGGTCACCTTGCTGCGAGTGCCTGGGATGAGGCATGAGGTGAGCAAGTGAGAGACTGTCCCAGATAATACATGAGACTTGACAAGTCTGAATGTAGCCAAGTAGGTTTTAGACCTTCCAGGGGTTGCCTTCAAGCAACTTGATTTCCATCAAAGGTGACACAGCTAATCTCTTCTCCCCCATGCCCTTCAGGGAAGAGGAGAGGAGCAGAAACAGAACCTGGACTACAGAGTAGTTCATGTCATGGCTAACAGCATGTTCTGACTGCATTTGGCCTCTCTGTCCTATGCCTAGGTTTCACACACTTCTTTGCACATCAGCCAATCCTCCAAACAAGATAGAAAATGAAGGAGAAAAGAGGCAAATTAGGAATTTCCTAGCCAGCAATCCCTGCAATAATTATTCTTTTTCAGCCAGTGCAAAATATTCTGAAACTCTAGAACTTGGAAGATACCGGATTAACAGACATTTATACTAGTGGGATTGTTACAGCATCCATACTGGCACTAATCTCACTATGTATGCTTCACAGATTTTAAGGTCAGATGTTTAGGATCATCCAGGCAGTATAACAAACCTCTGAATCTCAGCCAGAATTTCACCCACATCAATCCCATACATTCAGTTCAGCAGATTGCTTGGGCAACACCTTCTTTCAGCTCAGTAAGATCTTTGATTTGTATACAGAGGGTTCCTTTTTATTTCCTTTGAAAATGATGGCTAAGGTTAGAAGAAAACATGAGACAACAACAAAACCACCTCCCTCAACGCACCTCCCTCCCCACCCCAGAAAGTTAGCAAGGAATCCAGAGGCGCTCGTATTTTACATAAACTGCCGTAAAGCGGAAAATACCAGGTGACGTCTCCATACTGGAGATGCTGCAGCCCTCAGTGCGCTTATATAAAAAGCCATAATACACATAAAAGTCTAATGTGCCTTCAAAATTACCTCATCTTTTATTTAGAGGTTATTTCACCCTTGTCTTCCTTTATCGCTCTTTATATGAGTGAAGTGGGGAAGCTGGACAAAATTGAGGCAATTTAGGTTACTAACTGGAACTAGAGTTTATGGTCAAAGTTAGGCTCTGGAGGAAGAATTCCCTGTCGCCACCCCCACAACCAACCCACCTCTGCTTTGCAACCAGCTTTATTTAGGTGTTTCTTCCCAGCTCCAGCCCCCACCCTCTGCTTGGTGCTAAGGCTGTCTACTAAAAGAGGAAAATACAAACAGAAAGCTATGGAGGGCAGCTGGATGAGGGATAAAAATAGCAGCAGGGCTTTCTGTAGTGGCGTCCTTTGTACCCTTAGAGTGAATATTCTGGCAGCATTTCTATTCATGGGGTCAGTATCTCCAAGGGGGAGCGACACACATACACCCCCCACCCAAAAAAAAAAAAAAAAAAAGGAAAGAAAGGCTATAGGCTGAGTTTTGGGCATGTCAGTGACGTGAGTTAGAAATCAGCTTGTACTACACAAAGACAACACCCAGAAAAACAGTGGAAAACCCCTCCTGGAGCACAGGGTGATGGAGGACGCAGGAGAGAAGTGGGTTCTGCTGCTCCTAGCTCCAACCTGCTTGGCAGCCTGAACTCACACTGCTTTTCCCTATCTTTTTGTTGTCTCCCCTCCACCCCTTACCTATTTTGAGGCTATTTGGAGCAGGATGTCTCTATCTGCACAGCACCTGGAAGACTGATTATGATCTCTAGGCTCTACCATAACATAAATAGCGAGACTCCAGTTGGCTCCAAGGTCCACATATCTCACCGACTACTAACAAGTTAAAAGTTCCTACTTGGGGGAAAAAAAAAAGGAGCTATTAATTTTAAAATTAACAGTAGCAGTAGATCCGCAGCTAATATTTTCCCATTTAAAACAGAAATGGTGCTGAAGAGCAAGATGGAGTCACTGAGGAAAAAAATGCCAATATTATTTTTTCTTCCTTTCCAGAAAATTCTTTATACTCACAGATATCTCTCCTATGGTTGCTGGTATAAATTATCCCTAAACCTATGGAGATTAAGACAACATTTGCAGAGAGATTGATTGTCTCCTAATGGCCTGCTGTAGCCTTCCAGTGAAGCTGCTAATACTGGGTATATTCCAAGACTAGATCCCAGACCCTTGTCTGTAATTCTCACTCTGCCTCAGCATTTCTATTGTCTACTGATCCTCTGAAGGCCTTTTCCAACAACTGTTATAACGTAATCTGCCAGTGATATCACTGATGCACCCCCCTTCATCTGGCCAGATTTGGAAAACTTTCTGCAAGCTGCTGAGCAAGCAGGCTTTGCTGGCTCCTGTCTCTTAAACTGCCAAAAAAAAAAAAAAAAAGCTCCAGATCCAAATATCCAAGCTCTGACTTTCAGGAGAAGTGAATTATGGAGTGAATTCAAACTCTGAAATTTCAGTTCAGATGTAATTTAAATGCAAACCTGTGGCTTTGGGGCTTACAATACACCTAAGTGGTATCAAATCAAATGTTTTCTGAAGTTGACTGAGAATTGAATTTGTCCCTTCAGGTAGGTCTTCTTCTGTTTGCTTTACAGGATGACACAGATGTAGCTTAATTCAGTAGCTAATCAATAATTTAATTTTGATCCCTAACTAAATGAAGCTTGATAAATATCAGACACTTTTCAATTGGGTTTAATTAGTGTTTATGCATGTATTTGAGGGTTCTGATTCACAAACTGTGACAACTCCACGCTGAAGCAACCTAACCTTGTCTTTCTGCTAGAAGCTACTGCCCCGTGCCTGTTTCAGAGGCAGCAGATGGTCCTCAGACATGCAGGGCTTGGGTGCCCTCCTCTTAGCGGGAAGTAATCTCATAAACCTTATCACGATGCCCGCGTTCAAAGGGAGCGATGTCGGTGATGTGGAGGGGGAGAAAGGGACATCAAAGAGGCAGCCGGGGAGGGGCCCAGCTTTGAATTTCCAACTGTGGGTAAGAGGCGGTTCAGGAACAGCTGATGAGAGTGATGAGCAGCGCAGAAAGACGTCAGCACGGGGAGAGATGGGAGAGATTGCATCTGTTTCCTTGGAAGACTATGCAAACAAGGAGTGACATAGTGGAAGCGTGTAAAAGAATTAATGGTCTAGGGAAGTTACGGCTACCTACCATGTCTCCCAACGCACAAGAACTCCTAGCAAACCAGAGGCAATTGCACTTCGGCAGCTGGATATTTTAAGGGCAAAAACATCTGCGGATCCCATTCCCATCATTGGTCAACACCAGGACGACACCAGAAAATGAACCTCAGCCACGGGGCCGGCTCCCACTTGGTCTTATCGAGAAGACTACCCTGTTCTGGGGAGAAGGAAGGCTTAATTCCCTGAGCACAAGCCATGCCATGCCTCTCACCCTCTGGGCTGGAGCAGGCCCTGGCCTGCTTTGTGCGCCAGCACAGACACGGCCAGTCAGGTGGAGAAATTATCCGGAATCCAAAAGGTGTGAGATCCTTATCAGGACCCAGTGTTGCACTCAACGCGGAAGGAAAACACGAAGGTAGAAGCCAACTGCATGTTGGTGGAGATTACAAAGAAACACACTCTAGGGACGTATTGCTCCTGACACTTCCATGCTCCTCTTCAGAAGTCACCGATATCGAGGTTTGATGCAGCATTGGGCTGACACTGTGGTTCTCAGGCTTTGGGACTCCAAAACTGAAGCTAACAACCACCACCTCCTGCTGGAAATTATCACAACCCCACCAGCTAACTAGTTCTGTCACCTTACGGCTTTCCTAGATGTAGCACACACATACGTAGCACACGCTGGACTGGTGTGGGAAAACCACGTCCCATGGGCAAAGGGAGATATGCTCCTAAATGTGCAGTTTTTCCAGTGTGACCACATTGGCCCTTAGGATCTCTACCTGGAAAGCTGTGGTGCTGGAAGTCCATGCTTCCTCATGCCCTGAAATAATGAGGGTGTGCATTTATCTATCATACTTCATTTTAAATAAATATCAATATTTTTTGCTCTGGGCTCTCCTTTCTCATTTCCTCAAGTGCAATTATTATATCATAGCCAACATTATGATGCAAAATTAGAGGGAAGTAAATGCATTAGAAAGGTGGCATCACCTGAAGAGATGTGATGGCTGCTCGCATTAGCTCAAACACCTTTCTCCCTGAAGTCTGACCCTAGGTGTAAATCGGAGAAGCCTGACAGGACATAAAAAGAAGTACTATCCTGTTGACCCAGTTTTCATAGAGAGCAGTGTGTATAATTATTTTGGCCACCTGCAGTTGATAAACCAATCCCGCGTGAGGTTAAAAATTATCCAGGCATTTACTGGTGACACAGCAGTGTGCTAGAAACCTGCACGGCAAACCTGCTTAGCCACAGCTACGCTGGAGGGAGGTGTGGTGAGGCATGATCCGGGACGGAGACAGCTCTGCTGGCAGATGTCCTCAGCGCAGTGAAAGCTCTACAGGCTTCTGCCTATTTGGTATATTTTGTTCGGGAATGGTAAAATAAGTGATATCACAAATATCTTCTTTTGTGATAAGGCAGGAGCTGCACAAAGGCTGTGTGTACGGTGCTCCAGCCTGCAGGAATATCAGTAATTTTCAGCAGTAAATAAAGCACTCCTGGAACTACTGCATTGCTGCAGGAAAACCACTCCCCATGGGAAAAGTTAAAGTACTAAAAGTGCAATTTTGTCTATAAATAGTATCAGTGCAAAGGATTTCTGCCAGAAAAGCTGTGACACAGAGTGCCCCTTCTTCAGGCCCCGGCAGATGCCGTTGTGCTTGTACAAGTCCGCAGCAGAGACTAGGAGGAATTTGCTGAGATAGCATCCTCTGTGTCTGTGCTGATGACACCGCTTCTGTACGCTACCAGGCTACAATCATCCGTGCTGTGGATTGCAGTGCTGAGCTCCAGCAGTTTAGGTTCACGCAGCATGTTTTCCCCACGGACGAGGCTGGTGATCCCGAGCAGTGGGGCAGTGCAGGTTAGGCAGCCAGATGTGAACACATCCTCCAGATGTCCAGTGGGTTCTGCAGCCCTGGGAAAAAGGATTACGAAAGAAATCCAGCATGGTGCAAGTGCAGCCCCTCACAAATCACTGCCTTGGCACCCCCTTTTGTCATCCCTCACACAGCCTCGGTTTCCCCTCTTTTCTCAGATTTCCAGTTTATTTCTTCACAGGTTGAGAAGGACTAGAAGAAGACAATTTATATATCTCTATAATTCTGGTTTTATGTAGAGTGCAGAACCTTTTTCGGTTCACACCAACTGGGGTGTGAGAGACAAGGATTTATATGTTTTCATTTTTTCACAACTAAATGATATTTCTTTTTTGTATTTGATGTGTTGCAGAGCCTCAGTGAATCCTCAGAAGTAAATAGTGATATAGCTGTTACTAATTCTTCTAAAATTAAGCAACCGACTTGGGAAAGCATTTTCCCTGTAACTTAAGGCAAGAGTACAAATGGATATAATTATATAGGCATAACTTTCTGTTCTGTCTTGGTTTCATTTAGGTCATTTGGGAAGGGATTTAAGTTCAGCCAAAACATACCAATTTCTATTGGGAAAAAAAAGGTGAGATTCTTAAAATAAATGATAGTTATACTACACAGTCTAATACGTTGGTATTAATGGTAATGGTATAATACACCATATAAAAAAATCTAATTCCTCTATCTTCCACTACAGCTTATATCCTGATTTCATGCAAAATTGGAGTAAGCTATTAAGAGCAGTGGACTTCCTAAAGATTACTCTAAATTAAAAGATTTTCATCTCCTCTTAGTGTGCAAACTGCAAATACTACTCTAATACAAACACAACTGAACTGTAAACCAGCTCATTACATCTCAGGTCTGTGCTAAGTAATGAGCATGCTACATTAAGAACATCAGTACAGGCAAGTTTTCCTTTAACAACATTTCCTCAAGACTGGGCAGCTAATGAACGGGGCTTAATCATGATACTGAACCATTTTCCAGGAATGATTTCGGTTTGCACTCAAGCACAGAAAGTACACATCAGACATAAGTACAATGTGGACCCATGGGTCACCAGGTCTGTGTGGTCCATATCCCCGTGAGGTACCATGCTATAACATGCCTTGGTTGTATCTACCAAAGAAACCCAAATCACGCTCCCTGCGACACAGGCTAGTGACAACACAGTCATAAGGACATTTCTGCTCAGCAAGCCAAGCACAACGCAGGTCCTCTGCTGAGAAAAAACCACTTTCCCTACCCCCGAAGCTAACCCGAAATTATTGTGCTGCAGCCTTTGTTTGCTCAATGCCAGTTTGCTGTGGAGGCCAGGCCCAAATACCACCCAAAGTGAATCCTCCATGATGGCTAAAGCAGTGCCACGGGGCCCCGATCGCTGCACTGCTGGGACTGCTGTGCCCTGGAGGCACTCAGATGCCACCCATTGCCAGTTTGGCGTTGACGGACACCCATCGCCAGGTTGGCGTTGACAGCCACCCTGTCTGAAGTGCTGTGGGTGGGAGAGGCGGGTCCCGGCTCCTCCTTTGCTTCTGCTTTCATCCGGCAGAGATTGTGCTTTTCACAGCTCTGTTATTAAGGCAGATGGTTGCCTGCAGAGCCCAAGGCAAATGGACAGATGGGCTCTCCTCCCCTCAAAACTACGATCAAGAGCTTGCTGACCTTGCCTGTTTTCTTGGCTGGAATCAGCCAAAAAAACTTTACCGTAGCTTCCCTTCTTGCTTCCACTTGGGATAAACAGAGACCAATGCAAACCTTAATTTTCCTTGCCTGCCTGCAGAGACCCAACACCAGGTTGGGGCTTGCCACTCAGAGACGAACCTGAGCTAGTGTTAAATTCAATGGTGCTTCATCTCCTGAACTCAGATTGCTCCCCTTCTGCATTTCTTCCAGATCTATCCAGTCAAGGAAACATTCAGCACTTCACCTCCATATACACCAAGCAGCACATTACCTTTGCTCATATTAACGATTACGTGCATTTATGATACTATAAACGCTTAGAAGTGTGTTCAGTATCCATGTGGCTTGGGAGAAGGGAAGAAGACATAGTAGAGAATATAAAGGAAAAATTGATATGGGAACATGCTGACCTCAGAACACATTTAAACTGGTCTTGGTACAAGCTCTCATATGGGAATAGCTGACCCATCACCTGGTGACCAGCTCCATCTGATGTTGTTTCTCTGGAGGTAAACATAAGAAACTATGGAGGGAAGAAAAAATAGATGTAATACAACGAGTGCTGCAAAACACAGAAATTCCAGCCCTCACCCTCCAAAGCCAAGAAGGAGTACCTGTGTGGAAAGACAATATGCAGAACCTCAGGGAGGGCCAGCTGACTTCTGGCAGTCCTTTGTGACCTAAACTTTTCTATGATTCAACTCATGAAAATAAGACAGAGAAAAAAAATCCCAAAATATCCTTCATGGTGAGAGCTAAAAGAATCAGTTAGGTCCATTTACAACCTATACAATCCCTTCTTCAACCTCCGCAACACAGTTTCAGATTCAATGCTGTGGGAGCCACAGCCAGAGAGCAAGGAGACAAGCAGGTACTTGGTGGGACAGTGAGACCTTTGTGTTTGGACCAGAAAGTGTTGCACCAACCTGAAAATTGCACCAGAGTCACTGAAAAGAAGCCTGTAGAAACTTACTGTATATGACAGGCCTGGTCCAAAGGTTTGTGAGCTTTAGCAAACCCCTCAAGAAGCCTGCTTTGAAACAGGAATTTGTGAAAGAATTCCAAGTCAACAGCTTTACTGTAAATATTTTACACTGAAGTTGACCTGCTTTCCTTCCCTCTTTTATAGTACTGTTGCCTCGTGTTCTCTCCTTTCCCAAAAATTTGTTCCTTGCACTGCTTTGTTGTCCTACAACCTTCCACTCAAAGATGTCAAACCACCAAAAAAGCAAGGAATATTGCATCCAGAAGAAACAGGAGTGGAGGAGACAGGTGACCCCTATGGAGCGTAACAGCCCAGCAATATATTTTGGTGTCATGAAGCTGATGTTATTTCTCAGTAACAGGGCAGACCTGCTGAACTGAAGAGGAAAACTGCTGGCTTTTAGCTCACGGAGCTCTTAACTCACTGCTGAGCAAAAATCCCTCACTTACTTGCTGAAGTCAATCCTGCGTCAAGCCATCTACAGGAATCACACAAGTGGCCCATTACTGAGTGAAAGCTCTTCTCCAACTGCCTATTTGGTCCCCATATCAGGAGATTGTAGGTGAAAATGGAATGCAGCCTTGCCTACAGGGCTTGCTCTAAAAAAAAGGGATTACTCAGGGAGTGGAAATCCAGCACAGAGATTGGGAACTTAAGAACCCCTCTTTAGCTCCCCATCAAGAGTGGGATCAGCAGGTGGGACCCACGATGACATCACTGTCCTTTCACTGCTTACAAGCACCCTCAGGCGTGCCTCCGAGCTCCCAGCTACCCGCACTTCCATCTTATTCCCAGCAGATTCTGCCTAAGGCAATGAGGGGCACCAAAGTTTGCCCTCAGGAAGAATATCAAACCATTCC